TTGTCATGTTGAGTTTGTTTTCACCCCGAAAAATCTTACTTATTGAACGGATCTTAATTTTATCTCGCTTAAATTCTTTTTTCACGTGCGTTGAGTAAAAATATGAAGTATTGGTGAATAGCGACTTTTTTAGACGAACGTGTTGCCAGTGACTTCAACTATAGAATTTCGCAATTAAAGGTAAATATCATTCTGCTTCACAGAAAAGCTTAGAGTTGTCTTAAGAAACATAATTACCATAAAGAAAAGATAGTAAAGAGCCTGTAATACATTTGTGGTGAGTGGGCAGTAGAGTATAATATTACAACATGAGATCTAATTGAATGTTATTTGGTTGATTGTGAAGGAATATATAACCCCCCTTTGCTGAAACAATATTTTTCCATTTTTCGCAAAAGTTTCGAATAATTAAAGACTGGTAGTCAGAAACATACATTACTGAAAACCTTAAAACAGAGCAAACATGATTTATATTCCAGCCATCTCATTTCATGCTTCGTTCGATAATGCTTAAGAACTGTTTTATATCACATAGATCTATAGTGATAAAAAGTTAGAGATCGAAGTCCTACATTCCTAGGGATTTTAAGATTGCAGAATAATTAGTTTTTCACAGGAACTTTCTACATAACAAAGACATCAAAATCCAAAACTGTTTGTGTTTTAATAAACAGAAAACTATCATAACATTAGATAACTGAACACACTTATTGACCCTAGAAATAAGTGGTTGACGAAACCTAAATTAAGAAAATCTAAGTGCATTCGGAAAGTTAGGCGTATCAACTATCAAATCCAAATGGCTCAAAATCAGTAATTTTACGAAAAACAATGGGATCTTAAACAAAGTCAGTTAATTATAAATTAACGACTTCGAAAACTTGCATCTTGGTAACAAAGACTCCAGCGTTAGACTAAACATTACTACAATATCTTTACCGAATACTCAATGAGATTATTATGATTTAGTACCCTAATTCATAAGTTTGTTGCAAAAAAATAAACCCACTAAAACCTCCAAGTCTACGCATTGACGCACTGCGAAAAACTGATCCAAACGGCTACTTCAGGAATTCCAAGCATAAGACGCACATTAAAAACTTACCTAATCATTCGAAATTGTAAATTTATTTATTCCCATCAGCTTTTAACTGAAAAAATAGTAAACAGTAAGAAAATATCATCCTTGGTTGTTTTGTTTTAAAACAACCAGAAGCTTCGGCCAGAGATGCTCACTGTCACTGTTCACACTTAACTTCATAGACGCACTAATAAATATGACCTTAGGTATATCTGACTTCATAAAAGTTATCTGATAGACTAGGTGTATATGAACGATAGTATTCCGTTAGATGGAGATGCTGACAAAAATGCAGGGTCTTCTGAGCGCGCTGAGCAGAAATCTGAGTGTTTTTGGCATGCTTCTCACTGGTACCCATCAAATGTAAGATGGGGCACCAGGACTGATCTGCAACTACTCCCAGTCTGATGATAGGGAGTAAAGTGATGGAATGTTTCAATCACTTTACTTACTTGACGAGTTGTATCAGTTCTGACTGGTTGCTGACAAATTCTCAGGTCGGATACAGAAGTCCTGTTTGGCATTTTCCAGCTTTTGATATCTATGGGGTCGACTGACAAGGTATCCGACCATCTATCAAGGGACGAGTATACTGTACTGCCGTCGTTTCGGTTCTGTTATACTGCCGCAAGACATGGCTGTTAAAAGCAGAAAATATGAAGCGATTATAGAGTTCTGACCACAAGTGTCTTCGTAGCATCGCACGCGTATGGTGGAATCACCGTATGAGCAATCTTGAGGTCAGACGAAGAGTACTGGACAAGACAGGCAAGTCGATTGGTGAGGTTGCGAACCTTAGTCGACTGAGATGGCTTGGACATATGTTGGGTATTCTGATCTACCGCTTACTCTAACGTACCATGATAGGGGAAGTTTAATCAGGCTGGAGAAGGATTCAGTGTGGTCAGACCAAGATGTGGCACCAGTCAATGAAGTCCTAGACCGTTAGTCTGAGTCGTGTGGGGAGATATAGACTGCCTGGATGGGGTCCCCGAAACGAAAGAAACCAGTGGTTGATGACTCTTGGTGGCATGGCAAAAAATCGAACAGAATAGCGGAGATGTATTCCCTCCTTGATCTCTTCTAAAGCTTGAATATTCGCACTAACCTTTATCTTCAGATTGTTTATTCTCTGACACTACTTTATCTTTGACGAGTCGTTTTCTATCCACCTGTTCTTTGTGTACTACTGTGAATTGTAAAAACTTGAACGAATGCACCTACATATAATGCTTCACGATGAATTTGTCTGTCTGTTCTAACTTACTCAAACCTATAATAAGTCCGTTGCTTGGCCCAATAGCTCTATGCATCCATAAGCTCTATACATTCGGAAAATGATTGACATAAGGCATTGAAATTTAGGAGACAATAGTGAAAGCTGGTAAGGCTTTTTTGACTCTAGAAACTAGGCACAAATACACATTAAAGTAAAAAAAATGAGTGTGCTGACTAAAATAATTAAGCTTCGAAAACTTTTGTCCACTACCAATAATGGAGCTTCAAGGGCAGTTACTCCAAGTAGGTAAGTATAGTGAGTTACAAATTCTTTCTTCTCGTGTGTACGGCAGAGCTTGGATGTTTTTTACTTCCTATACGAATTCAGCGAACGGAACACATTCCTCAGCATCTTTTTTCCTCCACTGAGTAAAATTTTCTAATTCTTCCTCTAACTGAATACTTGAAACATAAAATGTTCTTAAATACCACTCAAGCCATATGGTTAGATTACTTGGTGGTATCTGTAGCTGTAAACAGTTTGATTAATGTTCTGAAGACAATTTCAAGTGACTTACACTGAAGTTTTGCATTGTTTTTGTCTCCGCTTTCTTGTGATAAAAATGAAGCCTCAATTATTCTCTATGACTGAAAGTTAAATTATAAAATCACTGATCATAAAATCAAGAAACGTACTCCATCTAAACTATTGGAATTTCAGTTTCAAAACCTGCATCCCTGATCTTCAATGTTTTGAGGGGTATTTAATGCCATACAGGACTTAATCAGATGCACATTTGACAATTATGTTTTATAAATTACTTCACTAGCACAGCTGTCTCTCATTTTTGACCTCTAACCAAATAAACACTTTTCATTCACCAAGTTCTGACCATTGTGTGTCATTAAAGACAGTTTATAGTCTGGCTAAACTGACACGACTTGGTATGGAAAAGGTACTCAAACTAATAACCATAGACCATAGTTCCTAATAAAATCAACATAGAACATAATTTTACTGATTCATGAATTGAAACCTTCCAGTTTAGTACATTGTTGAGTTGAAAATTCGTATTACAAAGTAGTATAAAACATGAGGACAACAGTTATCATTCGAAAGAGTGCAGATTTTCAGTGTTTTCCACAGATTTTATGCTTAATGCCTCACAAGTGGAACATCAGCCTATAAACACTCATCCTACTACTCACAACTTATAGCCAGAGAATCCCAGTAATTATTTGCTTATTCAAAGGTCTGGGTGATAAAATTTAGCAAACAAGAAGTCCTAATTACTTTTAGAAACATCTGAGCATATTTTTGTTGTCTTTTGACAAGGATGTCTAGACTTTATGTGGCAACTAGACGATCAATTTCGTATATGTGGATAATCTATGCACTACTACTTCCTTTACAATTTTTAAGACTAACGTTTTAGTGGGAAGAAAATGGCTTCGATTCAACATTATCTTGAAAAAAGGTGAGTGTATACCAGTATTTTAGTGTTTGATGATCCACTTATTCGAATTCATGTTTCAGAAACTTTGCATTCTACAAAAAAGCAATAGTCGACTCTTGGGTTAATTCAGAAAGCTATAGTGATAGCCAGTGAAAACATTCCTAACTTCTAAGTGAATAAATAGAGAGAAATGGCATTGTTGTTTGGTGAATTTATAGCGTTTTGATGTACAGAAATATAACATTATAGACCTCTCCTCTTCTTGCGAAAGAAGCCAAAAAGTATTTTTGAAATTTGTTTATTTATTCGTTATCGATTGCTGAAAATGTCTTCCCCAAATGCACTGTTTGCTTCAAGTTTGCGACTTTTACAAACAAATATTGTAACAAGATAGAAAAACAGTAATTATTTTAATACTGACAGTGGTAAATGCATAGAATCAAAGGGGAGAACACAAAATTTTGTAATCAAAAGTGATTTATGTTTTTCATTTAAGTCATAGTTATTCAGGTTTCATCGTTCAAGGTTAATGGTAGAAAACACGAACCTTATGTTTATTTCAACTATTTCTGCAGCTCATAATTTGAGAGAGTGTGTCTCCCATTGATATCAAAGTACTTACAAACCTGAATTCATAGGTTTGTAAACAAAATCAAATTAACGCTTCAGGATGATAAAATCTATTAAAACCCAAATAAAATTGCAAAGTAGTTCCAGATACTACCTCAGTCTACCTGCATTAAATTCCGTACTGACTAGACAACTAAGTTATGAAGAAGTCAAATGTTTAACAATCAGTACATACAATTTGTAAATAAGAGAGTCCTAATTAAAACACAGCTATTAGACTGTCGATTTGGGTTACATCACTTTAAAATAATTCAGAAGAGAAAGTGAATGTGTAATATAATAAAATCGATGAAAGATATACTTCTAAGGTGAGAATTAGTATCAAGCTAGGGCCAGAAACTGCAGAAACTGCTTAATTCGTGTTACTCATGCGGATGGATTGTAGGAAGACATTTGTAGAGATATTGTCAGCTTCACCTATCGATACAATCTAGCCCTCTATTTCTTTACCGTAAGGCTATTATCTAAATTATATATATAAAATATATATATATATATATATATATATATATATAAAATCCACTTTGTTCTTTAGAGGTTCAAATAAGTTTCACAACCATAAATGGCATCAAGTAGCCCTCAAAAATTTAAATTTTGGTGGTCCGAAAACTTACCTTGCAAATATTCCTAAGTGAAATCCAACTTTTAGTTCGTTCTTCAAAGCTACTTGTTGAACGGCTGATGTTCGGCTTATGCCTTATTGATGTTTCATTTATGTTACTTTTAGGCTGATGACAACATAGCATGTGACATGTAAGAATATCTACATAAGTCAACGATTCAACTTGTGTTTCTTTATTCGAATAACCATCAGGAAGTGCAACAATAAATGCAGAGTTATTTGAACTATTTAGTAACAGCATGACCATCAGCAAGCAATAATATTTCTTTCGCATCATGCACCAGTTCTACCAATTCCAAACATATTTCCTCCACTAAGATAGGGAACACAACAATATCATGTCATCACGATATGCAAGGAAAATGTTTAAAAAATTGCAGCTCGGTGGCGCAAAACACGGATGATATGTTTAAACAAAACAAGCCCCATATTCTGGTTGTGTATATGTGATGCTCTGTTTGCGCATTTGCCTAATAAATGTGGAAAATGTTTCTTTGAATTCATTCCAAACTGAGCGTTTAAATGACGAAACATATGATGTATCTAGATGTTAAACAGGGATGTCACTTATTAAGCGTATGGAATATCTGTGTAAGCAAACTGACGCTGAAATCCTAGAAGCCAATCATAATGGATAGCTTACTCTCACTTCATACTTGATCCTCTACAGTTTATCTCATGTAGATTGATAGAATCATCTTGAGTTTCCTCTTGAATCAAATTTTAAGAAACCTGTTGCGACTTAACTAAATGATGTACAACTCAACTAAGTCATCTGTCAGGTAGCTGAGTGCCAGCATCGCTCTGATGATACCTGTGACTGAAGAGAGTGTAAAGAAGCCCATTCTTTTTCTTCATCTGTAAGGACAAAAATGAAAGTGATCTTTTGTTTCAATGTCATAACGAGCGAAAATAAGTTATTTCACTCAACGGAAGGTTATACTTGAGGGTCACAAACATTTTCTACATCCAGTAAACATTTTGACAGCTTGATCTTTTCGAGGTTACTCCTAAGTGTTGAGGGAAGATTCCAGGTGTTCAAGGATATTTTCATGCGGCAAATTCAACCACTTGCCTGCTGAAGTTGTGTATTGGTTTAATTTCCGAAGGAATCGACAATTTCTTCTGAGGCTGTGACACGGATGTAATTTTAATATGTTGTATTATCGATATAGTGTCCTTCATAAAAGATGAGTTGATTCCGGAAGAACAATTTCAAGGAATAGGGGGTTAACCACCAGATAACTTGACAGGTGCATAGGCCAATCAGTAATTCAGCTTGGTTGTAGAGCACTCGAATGTGTATGACCGAGAAGAAGCATAGTAGCTTAATCAGATAGAAACGGTATATTGGATGAACCCAAACACCTAAACACATCGACCGACTGACTAGATTATCGTGTGCTTGCAATTAAACGTTTTACGACACAGTACCGAACGTTCTGAATGCTAGACCGTGTATCCTCAGGTGAATCAGTCCACTAGAACTATGGAGGTCAGCATCAGTTTTGACTCTTGTTGGTCCGTAATGTTTATTTTGTTGAACTTTTTGCCATGACCAAAGTGACAGAGAGACAAGGGTGAAGAAAATGAAAGAAGAGACTTGAGAATATTTGGACAACAGACGAAGAAAAGCAGACAATAGGGACCTACACAAATAAGGTCAAACAGAAGCAAATGGAAGGAGGAAGCATTACGTATGGCTGGAAAAATGGCAACGGAAACGACAATTTTCAGCTTATCCTAACTAACAATGAACTGCAAGAATGCCAATAAATGGTACTAACTAGCGCTCGTTACACAAGAGGTGGCTATCGTGCCTCAGTAGCCTAGCGGATAACGCCTTGTTGTTCGAAGCAATAGGTATGGAGTTCGAGTCCCAGCGGAAACACCAATCACTAGGGTGCAGGTACATCCAGCTGACGAGTCCCAAAGAGGACGAAACCCGCATCCTATTTTGTCGTTTGTCCCGATGGGCTGCGAGAGAACCAAATGAGTTAAAGCACCCTACACAAAGATAAATGGTGTTGATAATAATGGGGTGGTACCTGGAGAAGTAAGATGTCTTTGAGAAAAGACATGGGAGGGCTAGTCGTTGTGGGACGAAGGGGGATCCGTTTGTTTGCACCATAATAAACACAGTGAAGGATGACCAACGTGGATAAAAAAATCTGCCGAACTGATATGGCAACAGTTAGCTGCCTCGGCCTAGTCCGTGCCGAAAATAGGTTAGTGTAATCCACGTCAATGCAGAGTTGTCCAATCTTCCTGTGAATGTAAGGACCGTTGGCCCGGCGTTTAGCTTAACAGATAACGTTGTGCAGTTAAATTATGCCCGGAAAGAAGTATGACCGTGTGCAGGTTTTCGACCCTTCATGTCTGATTCATATTTGGTTTCCTTGATCAGCGCCGCAATGATCCTCCTGTAATACCTTACAGGCTGTCATCGAGTGACTTCTTATCAAATGGTCAGTAAAGGTATAGAAGCCTGGCTTTGTACATTCTTCCTTTTGTTGCTCTCGCTGCGTCTCTTCAGCACTTTGTTACCGACCTCTGAACTACCTTCAGGGGTTCGTGTCTCATCTGGGGTGATATGATGGCAAAGTTCTGAACTTCCAGATCAGGTCATGTATGGATCCCAGAAGGTTTAGTGAAAAGCTCAATGATCAAGGGGAGCAAGTAGCCTACGCACAAAATGCAGGATCGCAACAGTCCCCAATACAAAATACAATTATAAAATCTCCGTCCGGGGGATCAGACGGGTCACCCAGTTTCCTCGTTTCCGTCCGCATCTCCGAACTACCTTAATATAACAAATATAAAAACACATTCACATGGGCAAAATGTTGGTTCTGTGTACCCCATCATTTCGGTTGTCGCTTGTACGGATCTTGTGACAAGCAAGTTTGTTTTATGAATTCTTTTTCAGAATATCACAAAGGTAGTAACCGTTCAGAGTTCTTTTTTCAGTACGACATTACATAGCATCCTTCGTAAAAACGTAGGCCGTAGAATGTGGTTAGGAGTGAAACATTCCTGTGTATCAAAAACTTGTTCCATGTCAATCTTTTTGCAATCTTTCGTTTCACAGGCAGCATGTCCATATAGGGTGCATTTATCTTAGAAAGGAGCGAGATGTACACATAAATTTGAATAGACCTAAATGCATGGAAATTTCAGCGGATCCTCAAATCCAACGTGTGTCTGTAGAACAAGTTAGGCATAAAAAAGTGTTGCAAAACGTGAACAAGTTTTTTTGAAAGGCACTTCTGTCGTGGAGATATCTTGCTGCTAGTGGGCTTATCCGTTTCACTGAGCGTATGCCTTTGTCGTCGTAAGAAAACAAGAATCTATACAACCTTAAATTTACCGTATTTTACCCGTGGTGGCCACCCCATGAGAGGTCGATGCGTTTTATTTACTTATTCGTGAACCGTGGTATCTTCGCATGGTATTTGTATGTCTCTCGGACACATCCAGTATGCGAAAATTCGAATGAAAGACTCCCGGTACGCTTCAGTCGGTCTTGTACAACGAATTCCCTCGAAGCGACAACGGAGAAATCCGCAGATAAAATCCCACGGCCCAACTGTTTTTCTTTCTTCGCTTACGCTGACTGGTATGCCAGGTTTTATTGTGACTTCCGCGGCTTTTCTGTTGCACTGTTCGGGGGAAAAATTTGAGATATTACTCGCGCATACACCATCCTTACGTGACTTCTTCGTGCTGGCCCTCTGCCGGTCACTGATTCCTAACCAAAATGCATGCGGTTGTCCCATCCGTGCAATCGAGAATACGTTTCATCCGTCCGAATCTGTACTTCTTTAATAAGCTGTCTAAGCAATGTGTATAGATGTCTCCAAACTCTACGGTGTTATCCACATATTCAACCCTCAGTGTCGCGACGACTATCTTGTTTATCGATACGGCTAACGCTTGTGCGAAAAGAAAAATTGCTCGAAAGTGGTGATACTTCTTGAAGGTAAGGATGCCAAGCTCTGCTTGACGTCCTTGAAATCGCCTCAGCATTTTATACATTGCTGCACAACGTGCCCAGACACAAGCGAGTGGCTGATCCTAATCATTTAACTAAATATGTGTTCTGTCACACACGTGTCAATCAGTAATAGTATCGGCCTGTTCACTTAGTTACCTTTGTGTAAATAGTGGTTAAAAAGGTAAATAAGAAGAAAATTCAGACTGTTAAGGAGGGTAAGAGGAGCAACATACCTATTGGGTCGCAGAAAATAATATGAAGGGAGACGATCGAAACAGTTTTCTTTGGAATTCAGTTTATTTCGCTGTAATTCACCGTTCGTTTAGAGTGCTGTTTTACTCTGCTCAAAATCCTGTAGTAGGCTATCACCATTGTGATTCGGATTGAGCCATCTGCTCGAGGAATTCCTGTCGCTTGATTGGACTCTTGCAGACAGATATTTGGACCCCATCTGTCAGGAATATTTTCGGTTTTTTGGGAGAAAATAATCTTCATCTCTGGCTCTTTTCTCCTCATTGATTATTGTTTCTGTACGCAAATGAGTTATTATTGACTGCAAAAAACTAAATCAACAGTGTTGTGTTGAGGTGCATTTTGGTTACGCGTAGCTCAAGGAAATCAAGCCCATTATGAAGAAGGAACACAGTCGTTTATTTTGTGACCAGAACATTTACATTCCTAAAGATATATTAACATGGAAACGAGCCCTGCAAGGATAAAGGCGGTGTCCAGAAGGTGAGACAGCAAAGTGAGGGCCAAACGTTTGTTCCGCGGTCTAAGCTCTTTCTGTTCCAGGTTACTTTCAGATTGCAATAACCTTGTGTTCTTTTTGGTGGAGAAGGTTCAAGGTATCATGCGGCTGAAGCTTAGGGTGAGATCTACCGAATGTCAACTTCTTTCGAATGTGCATTTCATGGTGACAGCCTGGTTTTCAACAAGCGCTGGATTCGGCGGTTATAAATAGCAGGTTACTTTCTGATGTAGCGCTATAGTTTCTTGTAATCTTTGGGAACTCTCCATGAATAGCGTTGGCACTTATTAGTTACAAGTTTTACCTCAACTTTTTTTAACATGCCTCCAAACCAAGTAATCATAATGCCTATAAAACTGGCGTATGGTTCGTGGTGTGGTGGATGGATAAGAAATGGTTAGCCTCCTATTCGGCCTAACTTCAATGGTCACCATACGCCCCATCTTCTCTCCATGATTAATGAGTATCATGTCTCTGATGTAGCCCCTAGCATTCACACATTTTCGAATGTTTAAATTTAAGCCTTTCCGTCTGTGACGGGTGGGTTGATCGCCCCCTGTTGATTTGTTCCAAATTCCATGTCCGCCAATTGGAACAGGTTTTCGATTGCTATAACATAAAAAAGTTCATCAAAATAAAACAAGATACAAAAGCTTGAAGCCTCCTTTCTAGCATGCTTTAGGAATACTGATAAATAGTTTAAGTAGACAGCTGTTGAACGGATAGATAGTCTGTGAAGGCCGTACCCACGCGAAGGTGAAAGATCCATGATTCATGTCACTTCTCTCAGAAAATTTTAGCTCACGTGCAGCTCCCCTCATTATTGCGCCGTCCTCTACTGAGGAACCTGGACAGAAGCGTACGTTCGTGCTCTCAACATAGTACGCAAAACTTTCAGGTGTATTTCCTCTTATTGTTTCCGAACTGTCGACATGGTATTTATCATTCTCTGCGGACTTTTAAGTGCCGAAAGCTAATCAGAAGTTTTCATACGCAACTCGATCTGCAAAAACATCAACACTGAATTCAAGCACTTATCAGATCTCTTCACGTGGGAAAACGACGAGTTACAACATGACAGCCAGATAATGACCATACATTTATTGGATCATATGAACACACAGACGTATTATGTGACCGTCTCAATGATAGAGGATGAAGACGCATCGCAGTATGGAGATGTGCTAACCAGGATGAATGTTTGACTGTGAACATTCAACTAATCAAGATTCATGAAGCCTTCAAAACCATTGAAGATGTCAAATGTTATTGAACTGTAAGTGAGTTTCCGGGATACTTTGCAAGTTAAGCTTACTAGTCTTGGGGGGTTTCTCTATGACCATTAGGTGTTGTCAGTCGGAAGCCGAATGGTAATGACATAACCACTATCAAAAATCTTCTAGCAGGCCAAATGAATGAATTTTCATCTGACTCTTTGAACCTGACCTAGATCCTACCTGCAGATGATAGCACTCAGTAAATAAAATGCGGACCCACTTATGTTTTTCGCACTTGTCTAGTTTTTATGACAACGCTCGCTCCACCCAAAATGGAAAACAGAAACTTGTAGAGCAGTGTTAAAAGAGTGTGAATGCAAAACAGCGAAAATAAGTAGGCCTCTCGGAAAGAGGGACGTCAACTTAGACTTGACATAGACCTGAATCACGGACATAAACTTCATGACAAAATATTATGCACAGTTAAAAGGGGTGAAATACATTGTTATCGATGCTCTTTGACACCGTATTGAAAAAAAGATGTTCACGTTTATGGGCCTTAAGGTATGAGCTAGAAAACTGACGGTTTCAGAGAACGTGCTTCAACCGCGGGGGAGGGGGATATCGCCACATTTCTTACCATCGTGCCTACGAACCTTAGGTTTTCTATGGGGTTTGTTACTCAGATTTCAAACACCGTCACCTTCCATGAGGATGCATTGAAAGTGGGCAGGTTTAAAACGTCCAGTACTGACAAACTTCTTGCACCTCTTTGGGTCGAAACACGAACCATGAGGCGTCGTTTTAAAACCTTGGACGGTCCACTATGGGATCAGTTAAATGATCAGGGTGGCCCATTTGGACCTTACTCCTACACTTTCCAGTTTTGACTTCTAAACTAACTCATTTCTTTGCTGTCAGTCACGACCGCCTGTCAATGATCGTTCATTATTAAATGCAAGTACATTCTGTTTTGCTTGCCGAGTGGTTGGCGCACGTCATTTCTTTTTCCTTCCCTCTCCAGGTTCTCGTGGTCATCGGTCAACTCATACATCTCCAAGCCTAACCCCTCCATAGCAAAACCGATTAATCGCCGACACCTGTCAGTGGGAAATTCTTTCTCACTGGTAGTCAAAGTATCATCTGACTGTAATCCTAACGTCAAATGTTGGCGTTGTAGAAGTAGTACAGTGTTATTTACTTTGGTGGCGACCATTTGGCATTAGGATTACACCTCCAATTCAGAATTTTTTCCCCATCCGCTTCTTATCATGTTACTGAAATGAAATAATATCAAAAGTTCCCATCAGCTGGTCCTACTAGTTGATGATCGGATTGACTACCTCTGTAGAGAATACTTCGAGAATATTTCTCATAAGTAAAGCAACTTTTAAGATTGAAACCTTACTCTTGTTTAAGATATCTTGAAGTTGGATCATCACAACCTCTTAAGAGGGATAGTTTTATGATTCGCTTATTCAAGAAAGCTCAAAACATTATTTATTTCTTTTCTTAGTTTACAAGAGTTAGCGCTAAGGTCATTCTTCGGCGTGGTTCGTTTGAAGTGTTATAGATCCAATGCTGATGCAGACGCTGAAAACCTTACGATACTTAGCCATCTAGACATGTGCAGATGTAATAATAAAACGAGTCTTGTTGGATGTCAGAAGTTTTTCAGCTGGTTTCCAGTTGTATTTATTCTCTTAGTTGTTGGATGGTCATATTATGCTTATGTATATTCGTTGTGTATAGGTAATTCATCTTAAACAAATTTCATTGTTACTTAGTCCAGGTCAGCTCTGTGGCAGCTAAAGGTAATTTCTATTGGATAAAATTCATTTCAGTGTGTTTCCTGATATTCTTCCATTTGATTCTCTTGCTGTTCTGTTGGTCGTATGTAAAGGCCATAGTGACTCCTCCCATAAGACCCCCAAAACAGGTGAGCTACTCAATTATATTGGCATTCTCGCTTTTATAAAAGTGGTAGTTGGCTAGGGATCACAGAATTAGAGATCAGAAAATTTTAATGTCGTGTATAAGGGTAAGGAGTCGCGACCTAGATCATTGAGCGCACAAATAAAGACCTTTTGTATCACAAGAAGAAGAATACAAACAATGTTAACCGCAAGTGGCCTACAATTTTTCCGTCAACTGTTTTACCAAGAGGTCATTGTATGTCTATCGACCGCACTTCGATTGAAAATTAGACCGTCTGTACCTGAACATTTAGTCTGTGATCGGCATACGTTCAGGTCGGATGGCTGGCTTGATTTTTTCATCGAATTACTGTTGTAGAGTTTTTTAGGGACAAATATCAGTCCTGACTAGGTTCTTCGTTCCCTGTGCATTTGCGAATTCGCTCTGTGAAAATTCTCACGAAAAACTAGAATAGCTTCAGTCTGTACCACTATTTACTACTATTTCGCATCACTTTGCGCTGATCAGCCCGATTATTTTTCTGTGAAGTAACTAGTTGCTGAGTTTAACGTGCTAATCCACTCTAAGGGGGGGGGGGCACTGATCTTAACATCAGATTAATAGACAGTAGCTAAGTTTTTGAAATATATAAATTAACCTTGTTTGTGTATTAGATATCAGTAATCGGTGAAAAGCAGTCTGCCTCACTAATCCAGCTATGAGCTAGCGGTTTTCTCATTTGAAACACACGTTTCAACTTACAAGGTCTTTTCATTTAATCACTACGTTTGTTCTACCAGTCCTTGCCCTGTAATTATCTTTGTTTGAAGTATCTTAGTTGCCTCTGATGCCCTCAATGAAATTTAAAATCAGTCAGAAGTAATTAGTGTACTGTTGCGATGGCGGTAAACTGTTACAAGTTGTTCCACGCCTTGTTTTATGAAGTGATTACAAAGTAGACTACTGCCTTTTTAATGAATTTAGAAGGTAGATTGTTCACCTATGTTGGTTGTTTTAATCGCTAGAGGCACTACACTAACCACAACTTATCTATAAAGTACTAGGTTTTTGTATATATATGCCGGTTGCTGTTGCGTTTTTGAAAAATGATTGTAGTACTTTTGGCACATGATTGTCAACTGTGGAGAAACTGAACGTGATGTTCCCAAAAGTATTGCCGTACGATTGTCCGCATGTGCTAGGAACCGATAGATCAACGCAAGAGGTTGAATTTAAGAGTTTTCAAAAGAGGTTGTTCCCAAATACCTTTTCAGTAAAATAGTGTCTTTTGGTATAGTCGTTGTGGATATGCTGGTTATCGATTTTGGCACTCAACCTTGAACCAGCGGGTCATGGGCTTGAACGTCAACCCGCCTACTGTTATCAAACAGTAGTTAGTTGGTTGGATGGAGGCTTATTGAATAGTTAATATAGGACTAGAACTTGAGCACTGTGGTAGATTGTAATCCTATTTTGGTCTTTTCTAGAAATACACAGTGAAACTATCATTTACTAGATAACTTCTCGGACATTTTTTATTGTCCATGTTAATATCATGTAAGTCCACAACTTTGGAATAGTTTATTTAGTCCTAGTTTTCTCTCCTTTGTGACAAGGGATAGTTGCAGAATCATTTCTGTTACATGGTTTGGTGTTAACTCGATAAAGAGATTCAGTTATCAATCTCCCTCCACCAAATTGAGTTAGCTCTTAATGCTATCGCTTTATCCCACCCTATAGTGTTTCTTCTACACACCTTTGTCTAACTTTTTATCCATCTTCTTCTGGTCTACTCGTTCTTTGAATGCTTTTGTGAAGTATGGCAACTTGGACCGACGCACGTTTGTGCGAGGTTCTATCATAACTTTGTTTGTCATCCTAAAAACTAATTTGTCACCGTAGAGTTCAATGGTGATTCGCCAGTAGAAGCAATAAGAAACGGACGTACTTTCAAGACTCTTTGGACACTGTCACTACCATGCTCCAAATAACTTTCCCAACCTGCCAACTGTAATGTGTGTGAAAAATGAGCTACCGCATGACTTCGAATGTTCATCATTTCACTTAATCTCATAGTGTTACGTACAGTGGTCTGATGAATTCACATAAGCTGTAGTAGCCCATGTCTCTAGATCCTTTATCTCGGCTTTTGTTTTGTCATATTTTCATTTCTTGTCAATCATTGGGTTATGGTTCTAATGCCCACACCACCTACTGAGATTTAGGCACGTAGGCAATGTAGATAGTGGCCACTAAATAGGCTTGCCCACATTTGTGATTCTTCATGGATTTGTGACGTCCATTAGCACTTTCAGAACACTTTCTGACATTTTCCTCATGTCTCAGTCATTCCTTTCGCTAAACTCCATTTCAGTATGCTGAAAAAATGTGACAGTGTGCAGATCTACAGTTCCGTCCGATCATTTGCTAATGTTTACTAATCAGAGATTACTGTGAATTTAAATGACTAGTATGTTTTCGATTTCGTTTTTTCGTAGTATATAGCTCATGGTGACCTGCATCATGAAAATGTGCACAACAAACTGCTACCGACAAGAAGAGATATAAATAAAGGTATTCAAACTTCTGAGTAAGATAAAGAGTGAATAATCTGCGTTATTGCGATTGACTTTAAGCCATGAATACTAGTGTCTTTACCTAATGAGTCCAGTTATCTGAATTCCACATAAACAGACTACGCATATGTATGTAATTCATACAAAAATATTAGGTCAAGCTATGGCAACGATCAAAAATGTCTCTGGCATTTAGTTTGACTCGTGTAGGGAAATGCAGGTCATCTGCAAGACAACTGAATTAAGTAGTTAGGGATTTCAAGTGACACATTTCAGAATAACTTGCCATGCTGCAGGTGATTTATTACCTTATCTTCATATAGATCGTATCATCGCATGTTTATTCTCTTTATTTCCTTACGGCTTTTACTTTTTACCATATCTGATGATAAATAATTCCTTTTTTGTCTTCCCTCTGCCTGAACTTAATGTTGGTTTGCTGATTTTATGCTGTGGATACCAGTTTATCATTAACTTATTAAATTGCGACAAGAAGAAAATCACTTTTGAACCACGCTGTATTTACTATGAGTTCAGGAAATAGGTATTTCGGGGCTTCACGCACTAGGCAGGATTCATAGTAAAGTACATGAATCTGTTCGTACTTTTTAAGCCCAATAAACGGAAAAATGAGGCTAAACAAATGCAGGTGCATTATTATTATTTTTGAGGAACTCTCAGGCGCAGATATTTTTGCTGACTGTTGGATAGATAGAACATTCACATGTTGCAGCGCACGAACCACTGCTCTAGTTATATTGGCTCTCCTTTCACATAAATAAACTTCCAACCTGTAGTATATCGATTCATAACTTCCAACAAATAAGTTCGAAATTTACAGCTGGCTGGTTATTCATTCGGAGCTTTCAATTTAAAGTAACTTCTGAAGGTCGGAGTTGAAATGTTAACTATTATTTCAGCTTCATAATAGTATGCGTTCTGAAGGACAGTTGTGTGCAGATTGCAATCATTTTGCTAAATTTTAGTGGCTTTTAAAAATATATCAGATATGTGATTCATGAAACTACAAATATATCGCTTCTGTGGTTCGTTTTTCCGGCTGTCTTGTTTCTTATTTCATCTCAGTGCAAATAAAGTGACTGATTTACTATAACAATTTTAACAGCATGCAGTTGCGTCTACTTTTTACTGTCAAAGTGGAATAATGAAAGAGGATGATCGTAGAAAATAAAATATTTGGTGGTTAAGGTGAACTCGAATAGACAAGAAAGGTTATCACAGAATAATCAAAGGTACATTAATCGAAGATACATAAAAAAAATAGTGCATGTTAATTGTCTTGGCGAATCTCAGTTTGGTCATAATTTGTCTACCACAGCGAGAACGTATGTTGCTGGCCACATTGTGCAGATCAACGTGCAGTGGTCAAATGGTTTATATATATATTCGGCTCATGTTCTTTTGGTGGTCCAGAAATATTCGGTTTTGTAAATTCACTGTAACATCTTTTGACATTGCAAACAACCCTTACTTCCTACTTTTCCGATTTAGTTTAGTCCTACTTGTAATATTACCATATATTAGGATAAAATGAACATAGCTAGAAGTCTGTTTTTGAGTTTCTGGTTAAACACTAGTGACTGTCAAACGGAAACTTAACCCGCTTCTCTTATCAAGTGGGAAGTGCCAATGAATCACTAACTACCCTTAAGGTTATGCTGTAGGATGTAAGTCATTTCTGTTGTATGGATAGGGATAAAACAACCAAACTGTGGAGACATGCTTAAATAGTTTATTTGTATTCCTAATGTACGGATTGAGAAAAATGTACCCATGGCACTAAACTCTTATTCTTATTAGCGGCGCATGATTATTACTCTCCTATCACTTCCATTATTCCTCGTGCGCTTGGAAATGAACTACCTAGGATTCTTATTGTTTTCAAGGAATACTTAGACTGAGGTGTAGCACGCATAAGATATTCCTTCTGCGAAATCAGAATAAGAAAAATAAACACCGATAGGCTTTTACTTGCTGATCTAGAAACTTAGTAAGGCTCAAAAGACTTGAAAACTACAGCCATACATCTACGTTCTGTAATATCAGGAAACTACGTCATTTTCAAAATGTTAAGGTTTTCAGAAAGGTCTTGAAAATTATAAGAAACGTTTCATAGAAGAGTCTTTTCACGTAGAAGGGAATTTATCTTGTTAAATAGAAATGAAATGAAGCATAGATTGATCCGGTTCCAACCTATCACCACTAACTAACGTAACCAACTTGCGCGAGATAAGAACTTAAATCACGTATGAACATTCAAACTGCAATTTGTATCATCATCATCATTATCAACATAGGACCAGGCATTACTGCGTAACGGTCCGAGTTGCCACACCTCATATCAGCACATCAAGTAAAAAGGTAGTGAGGTGAAGGATGAAGATAAGTGAATGCAGTCAAAAGAAATATAAAGTAGGAGAAGAAAGGAAAGAGGAGTGACAAAATAGTGAGATTCGGTATAGCGTTGTTAAGATGAGGATAATGTGTGTATACATCTGCGCCACTGACTTCGGTCCTGAGCCATATCACCTAGGGTCTCCAACCAGTGGTTCCTCTTGTCCCGTGGACCCCAACCACCTAGTCTGCATCGTCCTACATGGCTTAAACCAACAGTCAGAGACTTCATACATTGGTGCCATGTTTTAGTCTGGCCACCTCGGGCCTTTTTCCAGCCTGAACCCACCTCAGCCAACATTGTGTGACGAGGCAATCGGTGACTAGGCATACGTAGTACGTGTCCCAACCATCTCAGTCGATGAAGGTTCACAACCTCGTCGACTGACTTACCTCTTCTCCCTAAAACTCTGCACCTAACTTCTGCATTACTCACATGGTGACACCACGGAATACGTCCTATACTACGAAGGCAACGGTGGTCAAATACCTGTAACCTTCTCATGTCTTCCACTTTCAATGGCCATGTTTCACAGCCATACAGTAGAACAGAGCGGACTGCTGTGCAGTACACGCCACCCTTAATAGACAAACGAATATCACGGCGGCGCCATAGGTGGCGCAAATTGGCAAAAGCCAATCGAGCCTTTTGTATCCGTGCAGAAATCTCATCGGCAACTGACCCACCGGGGTTGATCCTACTTCCCAGGTAAGTGAAGTGGTCAACACACTCAACCACTTCACTCTCTATTGTTAACCGCGGTACCGCTGAAGACCACATGACACACAACATATACTCATTATCCTTTTTCCACCGCAGCATAAAATCGTTCATACAGAAGAATTTTGATTGAATTATTGAATATGAGCATTGATATTGTAAATTCTGGTTCATCATTACTTTAGTGGAAGTGTTTGTACCAAATATCGAGACGTCAGTGTGAACAACCTTGATTTTTAACTTTAGTTAGAAAATACAAATGTCAAGAGCAAAGCTGTTGATTATCCCATTGCTCAAATCTTTTCAAGACATCGAATCTCAACTTTGCTTATCTACCTATGCTCAACACGCGTTGGGTGATACAAGCTTTAAAATTGATTGTACTGTAATCAGTGAGATACTCGTGAAGAGGGAATACAGCATTTATTCACTTGAGTCTTGTGTGACGAATTTACTTCCTAATTTTGTATTCCAAAATATTTGGTTTGGGTTTAAAAATAAATTCGTACTGCTCTGTTAGTCGCACTTTGATAAATTGTGAATTTAGAGTCCCCTGAATGCCCTGATACAGCCAAAGGGGTGGGTAGAGTGCACTTTCCCTTTCGCTGTGCTATCGTACGGTTATGCATTCATCGATGAATCGGTATAATCTAAGTCTGCTTCCAGAAGTTTTTATGAAATAAGTTCCAGAGTTAGTGAGAACATCTTCAATATTAAGTGTCGTATGGGAATTCAAGGTAACGTTATTAGACTGGTCTAGATTGGTGATCATCCCAGTTTATAAGAAAGCAGAGAAAATTTCTTTTAACAACTACAGGAAAATCCATTTGTCCAACATAGCATTGAATATCCCACAAAGTACAGTCGTTCACAAAATGCAGGGTCTTCTGAGCGCGCTGAGCAGAAATCTGAGTGTTTTTGGCATGCTTCTCACTGGTACCCATCAAATGTAAGATGGGGCACCAGGACTGATCTGCAACTACTCCCAGTCTGATGATAGGGAGTAAAGTGATGGAATGTTTCAATCACTTTACTTACTTGACGAGTTGTATCAGTTCTAACTGACTGGTTGCTGACAAATTCTCAGGTCGGATACAGAAGTCCTGTTTGGCATTTTCCAGCTTTTGATATCTATGGGGTCGACTGACAAGGTATCCGACCATCTATCAAGGGACGAGTATACTGTGCTGCCGTCGTTTCGGTTCTGTTATACTGCCGCAAGACATGGCTGTTAAAAGCAGAAAATATGAAGCGATTATAGAGTTCTGACCACAAGTGTCTTCGTAGCATCGCACGCGTATGGTGGAATCACCGTATGAGCAATCTTGAGGTCAGACGAAGAGTACTGGACAAGACAGGCAAGTCGATTGGTGAGGTTGCGAACCTTAGTCGACTGAGATGGCTTGGACATATGTTGGGTATTCTGATCTACCGCCTACTCTAACGTACCATGATAGGGGAAGTTGAATCAGGCTGGAGAAGGATTCAGTGTGGTCAGACCAAGATGTGGCACCAGTCAATGAAGTCCTAGACCGTTAGTCTGAGTCGTGTGGGGAGATATAGACTGCCTGGATGGGGTCCCCGAAACGAAAGAAACCAGTGGTTGATGACTCTTGGTGGCATGGCAAAAAATCGAACAGAATAGCGGAGATGTATTCCCTCCTTGATCTCTTCTAAAGCTTGAATATTCGCACTAACCTTTATCTTCAGATTGTTTATTCTCTGACACTACTTTATCTTTGACGAGTCGTTTTCTATCCACCTGTTCTTTGTGTACTACTGTGAATTGTATCAGCTTGAACGGATACATCTGTGTTCGAGGTTCTACGTTGATTTTAACAGTCAGTGAAATGGAAACTTTGAGAACGACCCTGCATTCTGAGCGTCAAGCAAATATCCTTTGGGTTGTGTGGTCACCTATTTGTACTACTAGTACAAATTTGTACTTGATGATTAAGTAACTTTTCATTGTCAAGGTAGCTGGGAAGTGTCAGCCACCTTCACAACTTTATCAGTACCCAAGTTCCTTTAGATCACTATCTTCACCTCTCCCTTGTCATACTATCGTCTCCCGTTAACCAATGCAATTATGTGCAGGATACTACGTTGATCGTTTTGGCACTGACTTTATCAAATTTTTCATACTTAGTGTCTCAACATTGAGTTTTCAGAGAAGCGATCTACATTCGTCGCCACACTAGTCGACAGAAATGCTATGTCTTGATAAATTACAAAACCCAGACTACTGGACCGGTAGTGCGTTTGCTATCAGTAAGGAAATAATATGTAAATCTATGTTAGTCATCAGAAACAATAGGGATCTAGCTTCAGACATTACTGTCTTATGGATTGAACTGTAAATCAAAGGTTTGTGGAGTGATCTGGTCTATTCATTCAAATAAGTTCTCACCTCTTACAAGAACCATGTAACAACACGCAGTCATAAATGAGCCCGATGGATTTTTTTCAATTATCTTACTTTCATTATGCATCATATTTCATACCAGCGATTGTCGACTAAATATTTTGATTATTTTATGGTTTTAGTATGATTTTAGTTAAAATTTTGCTAATTTTTTTTCAAAATGAAAAACTATAGTTCCTCTTAACAAGCACTGAATGGGAGAGCTTGAATGCTGCATTTGGGATGGAGACTGATAGAAATGCAATATTAGAGACAGTCGTATCCAACCGTAATCTTCCGGTTTATCTTGCTGGCCCAGACGGGAAAATTCGTGTATGCAATATATGTGCATTAATTAAACCTGATCGTGCGCACCACTGTTCTGCTTGTGGAGTGTAAGTTTCATTGTAGATGAATTCATCTCTGATACTGTGTAGCTGATGGCCATTATCCTTTCATTAAAACCATGTTAAAGGCTTGTCAATTAGTTTTTTGTTTTACAAAATTGCATGTATTTATTCTATGGGCTTCATGAGATGTTTTGTCGCTTCTCTTCGCTAATACTTGAAATACTGTATCAGTTCTTTTGTAAAAGAAGGAACGGATTTAGTTCTTTGATGAATCGGTAAATACCCGGTTAACATTCCTATCGGACTTCCTGTTAATTACGTAGTTAGATATTCAATGTTCAAATAAATCATTACAATACAATGACTTACTCTAAGTTCCTAGAATTGGGTATATATTTAAAACAAGTTATTTTAATTGCAGGAATTGAGTCGTACGATTTTTGATTTCATTTAAATGTTTTTATGTGCACTTAACAATAATTCATACATATTATGAAGGCTGACTATGTTGTTTGGTTGCCCAAACCTCGATAGAAGCGTCTGGGTTCGAATCTGTTACCCAGCGATTGAATGTCAGCTTTTTGAAGCAGTGAGCCGCAATACTTTGATTGCAAATACTAGGGGCTTACAGTAGTTCACAATCCTAGTTTCGTGTATTAAAGATGATTCAGAAAGCGCTGAGCTAGGAAAATGTCGGAAGTATAGAGGCAGTAATGATTGCGGTCAAACTGAACATCAATTCTAGGTTAGCAATTTAAATTGTTACGTGAAGCTGTCTAAACATATGCACATCGATACACAACTTGGTTTTACTATTTAACTTTCCTGCTTAACACATTCAGTCGACACGTCAGAGCGGAAATTGACAGTCAGAAAGAAAAAATAACAATAAGCAGTTTGTTTATGGCAGTTTTCATAATCATTTTCTTTTAAACCATTAAGAAATACATTATGTAGGTTGTTTTGATAATCTAACGTTTGTTACTGTCTAGTTAGTTATCCAGGTTTTCACCAGTATTTTCCTGTTTACTTTATTGTCATCTCATAACAGTCATCGCTTTTCATCCTCTTGTTTTAGATGTTTATTGAAAATGGATCATCATTGCCCATGGTAAGCGTTTCTCCTGTATTATTGGTTACCTTCGTGTCACAAAGGCATTTGTAGTGGTCGGAATAATAATATTTGAACATTGTTAAAGTTTTATTTTAATTTTTCAGGGATTAGTTCAGTTGTTGAGTTCATTTTCTGCGCCTACCAGTTCTCTGTAGGAATATTTAGTTATCTTTTTTGAAATAATGTTTAGACTTAACCTGGTTTTAACAAAAAAGATTTTCGTCGAAAATCTCTGTATCTTAGATTGATAAAATCGATAACCAAAGGCTATGCTGTTTTGTTTATAAATCACGTTTCCGCAGTTTACGACTCGACTTTCAAATGAAAACTAAGATAAGCAAAACAAATGACCTTTGGCATATGTAAAGGTGTCAAGTTTTTCATTGTATGCTATTATGAACAAATTAATAAAGTTTATATCATTCTCACAATCTGAGACAGGTTTCAATATGCAATATTTCACAGTCTTCGCTTCAGAATGGCTTAACCATTCTAGTATTCAGTCATACGATAAGATAGTCACCTCTCAGTAAAATCTATGTATTTGCTACGGCAAGTAAATTCAGATTGAGAACGCGAAAGTTTAAGAAAATACGTATTTACATTGGAGTCTCATGTGGCTAAACCTCTTAATATCATGGTTTCAGCATAAATCAAGTGGCTGAAAGATGTATTGTAATTACATTTATTAGAATCACTTCCTGTTTTAAACGCAATTAGTGATTTACCAAATGTATAAATCCCATTATTCATTGACTCTCTGAACTCACGTAAAATATTTCTTTACGTCATCCTTTAATCCCGAAAGGATTCGAATGTACAATTAATTATCACTTTACTTCATAATTATCAGTTACGCACAAACCAGGCGACTTCTCTAGTTTTATTGGTTGTTTTCTTGAGTTTGTATACATCATCACTTTTTAATTTCACTGCACCCTTTTCTTCTTTCTTGTGTTTTTAAAAATCCTTTTATAGGACCAATAATTGTATTGGATTTCATAACCACAAATATTTTATTGTCTTTTTATCTTGGGGTGTGATATACTGTTTTTACATTGTTTGTACGTCAGCATCATATTTTGCAGAATTTTGGACGGTGAGTTCATAATATTTGTTTACTTTTCTTCATGTTATATCACCTATTACTTGCGACTAATAATTTATTGTATGTTTATGTTCTAGTGCTATCATGCGTTTTTGCATATAGAAAGAGATAGAAACTAGTTCTCACTTTGAGTTAACAATAGTAGGATGAAAACTGAATGAACTATGGTGGTATTAAACACTGTTATATCCTAATTCGCATCTCTTGGAAGTTTGAGCCCAAGATATTTAAGTCTAGCGTTATGTCGCAATGAACCCACTTAACCGTAATAGAATGGCCAGAAAGTTATAATATCAGGTAGTTTTTGACATAGAGTAGTTATTAAAAGCCTCACTTGACTTATTTTCGCATAAAAAGTATAGCTTTCTGTCAGAATTTGGGGAAGTTCATCATGATACAGATCAATAACGAGTGTTAAAATGCTTTATGTACATGGTAGTACACGTTGACTTGCTTTATTTACCTTCATATCTACTACCACATATAGAAATAGATATCTGCTTTTAGATAAATAACATTTTAACTGGGAAAGTTACAATAAAGCGAAGTTCAAGTTATCATAAGTATCACTTCAGTTGTAAAATACTAAACTTCTATCGCTTGGCTGGACTTTGAAGTGAGATTGTTCAGCTAATGATGATTCATAAAACTGATTGTTGTCGGTCTTAATTCCTTTACATGATGGATAACTCAAAACTGAGTTCTAGCCAATATGCTGGAGACTAAACCAACTCACGCAAACTTCTTAATGTGTCGCTTGTTTTTAGTGAAAAAGCTGTGGGAAGAAATAATGCTTCTCTAGGAATGATGTAGCAGATAAAGAATTACGAAATTAAAAGTTAAAGAGCGCTCCTTTTGTCGATTTTAGATCGAGGCTTTGAGTATTGTGTATGTTGTTGTGTAGGCTAACGCTATTCATGTCAATGTAAGAAGACTTTATGATTGATTGTTCCGTCATCGTGATTATATCAGAATAACGCTTAATTCCCATTTTTGTTTCGAATAAAATAGGTAAACATATCAGTGATTCAGTCTAGTCATTTGTAGCTCCTGTTTTGAATACGGTAAATCGTCATGTTTATATGTCGTAGTCATTCATCTGATCTGTATTTATTGGTCAGTTTACTCCTTGAGGCTTAAGGATTTCTGTTTGGTCTATTGAAAAACTGTGAGGTGAGAAACAAATATCACGTTGGAAGGTGAAGTCATACTACTGAATGTACCGGGATGTAAAAGCAATAAAGTATTTCCTAAAGATAACCAGTGTCTTCATTGATGACGCTTTTATGTGAAAGAGGGAATTGGAAAAGGTCATTCCTCAGTCTCGCATATTCACATCTTACCAAAAGTTCTCAGTCGGATAGTAAAATCTTTTAAAGTGTGGCACCAAGGTAGTTAAATCCGAATCAAATACTGCCTGAAAGCGTTCTAACTTACTTCAAACATCTTTGCAGTTATAACCGTAGTTCAATCACATCACCCGATTTATCCATTAACCTATCATTTTTCAGGTACCCTCAGAGGAAGTAAGACTCCACGTTGTGGGTATTTGAAAAGTGTCGACCGCCCTCACTTTTCCGGTAGCACTGAAGTCTCTATCCGTCTCCCTATCCGTTCAAACTGTCTAGAATATATGTCGCCCTGGATTCCAGATTACTCTGGAAGCTGATGTAGCTTTCTGGCCTTTTGTTGACAGGATAATCACAAGTTGAGTCGAATTTCAAGTAACAGGCTCTTGGTTCGTATCATCCTCCGCATACTTCCGCTTGGTCAAACTTATAGTGTCATTGGTCATCATAAAATAAATGCCAATGTTAGCCGAGTATGCAAACTGGTACTGTTTAATTGAGCCGCATCTACAATTCCTAATAATTTAGGATTAGTTCCAGCATTCATATCTTTCAGAACTAAAGACGAGCAGACGTAACAGCTTAAAAACTGTCTCATAAAACTTCATCAGTTTAGCTTGTTACGATTTGGAGCAATAAACGAAAAATCAGCTGAAATAGAATAGCAGTAAAATATTACAAAATACAATGCGAGCCAGTGGAAAATACAGTGGTCAGGATTTCCGAGATGATGATGACCAAATACATCCGCGTCATCTTAATCTATCTCGAACCTTAGCATCCAGAGTCTTCAACCGTCGATTGCTTACATCTCGTGAATTTCAACAAAGAAGCCCACACTTCATTGTATGATTAATACCAACAGCCAACTTCATAGACTACTACCACGATTTAGTCTATCCGACGTTAGCCTTCTTTTGTTTAAATCTTATTTTAATCAATCTAGCTTTGGGTTAGATCGTGCCTGAGGAGTATACAGATAATTTGAGATTGATTCTCACTAGCATTTGATGATTGATTGTGTTGGCTATTTTTGAATTCGCATATTATATTTATTTCTGATTTTCAGTCTGTGAACAATTTTTCAGTTGATCGATTTCAAGTTCTGTTCCTATTTATTATGGCTATTATGTTCGGTATTTGTCAACTTGGTTTATGTGCGTATCATTTGTATCTGGTTGGAATTAATCAATCAACTTTAGGTAAGAAGTTCGTATTTAAAAATGTGCATACCGTAGTGTTTTTCTTTGTGTAATAAAGCGATGGAAACAAAGCAGTCATAATACTTTTTCCAACAAAACAAATTCACTGGTTTAAAAATATGTTGAATGTCAAAAAAGATTCCGCACTTCAGTAGTAATTCAACTTAGTTTTGGCGGTTGGAAAAGAAATTATATAGCTTCACGTGATACTTTACCTATCTAGAAAATATGAATGAATGAAGTTCGCTCATTAGGTTTCATTACAAGGCTAGGATGTGTATGTAAAGTAACCTTTAGATAATCAACTAAAACCTTACGTCGTAGAGATTTATGATCTAAGTTGTAGATTGATGTTTTTAAATACTGTAGCACCCGATATGTAACCAGTCTTCACATGATTAACACAAATAACTTTATGCAATGGGTCGCTTGTGTTTTGTGATGTCACCCGTAGAAGTTCTAACCGGGCGCAACGTTGTTTAACTTCGGCGATCGAACGAGAACCAATATTTTCAACGTGGTTTGTTGTCGCCAAATCGGCTATGCAGAAGTTAGGCGCAGCCTTTTGGTTAAAAGAATTAAGTCAATTGATGATGTGAATCCTCATTGACTCAGGTGGTCGGGACATGTGCTATGCATGTCTCGTCACTTAATGTGCAATGTTAGCTGAAGTGGGGCTAGGCTGGAAGAAGATAAAGGCTGACCAGACTTAATCGTGACAGCAGTCCATTAGTTTTTGGATGTTTGGTTTGAGGCGTTTAGAGACATATAAACTTCCCAGTTGGGTTCAGCATAATAACCGAGATCGGTGGTTGCATACTATACGTCATGTGGCTCAATAATGTTGCGCAATGATTTTAGGTCCCATGTTGATGCTGACTGATTGCAGTGGTTTAACGATGTTGTAGAATACTTCACGTAATTCCGTTGTAGTTGGTTTATTAGATGTATCACAGAGTGGAACAGTTATGTACTGAATTACGTTCCGGACACAATCTATTATCCTTAGTCGTAGTCATCTCGTTATGACTATAGACAATAAATTGTGTCCGAAACGCAATCCAGTAAATAATACTGTTCCACTGTGTTATGCATCCGATAAATCAAATGAAGTAGAATTATATTCTACCACAGTGCCCAGGTTTTAATCTTATAATAATACTTTACATAATCAGAATTACGGAATGAAAGCTCATCTGTATACAGAATAACATAAATAAACTACTTGAGCAAGCTAGTCGGTTTTATCAATGTTGTGTAGTATACCAATGAAAAAAGCTTCACAACTGCCCATCAGCCCAAAAATATGTACTATTATCCAAATAATCATCCTCAGTTAAAAAACTTTTGCCATCTAAAAAATATGAGGTGTAGAAATCTCTTATGTTCTTGGAGAGCCTAAGTTGCATCACACAGTGTTTCAGTTACATACGTTCCCACTAAACTATCTCAATGGAGATTGGCTTACTGTGCCACTAGATTAACAAATTTTGTGACCTAGTCATGAGTGCTGGTATATATATATATATATATATATATATATATATATATATATATATATATATATATATATATATATATATATATATATATAGTGTAATATAGTATATATATGGTTGAAATTGTGAATTAGAATAAGTAGTAAAGCATTGTTCTCAAAAAAGTATATGTGAACTGATAAAGTAAATAAAAATACAGACCATATGGCTCTGGAATCTTGTTTAAAGCAAGCCTTTGCGAAATGCACAGTCCGACGTAAAACTGATATACTTAGATGAAACTCAAATGTGAATTTCCACTTCGTTTTCATTTGGAAAAACACAGTAATGTGTGATCTACTGGAGATTGGGAGCACGATAGCTGTAACTGATATAGGTGGTTGTAGACAATTGACATCAATCAGCACTTCTTGGTAACCAGATCGAGATGATCGGGACATCAACTTGTCTTCAGTATTTTGTCAATACTAATGCTATTCATCAACACATATTGTTGAAATAGTGAAAAGTAATATGACAGAGGCATGTATCATTGTGAGTATCAAAACGGTTTCATAAGTAACCTAAATGCAGTGAATCTTTATTCCTTATAAGGAGAGGAATTCGAAAAAGTAATGTGATGCAAAATATATTGTAGGGACAGATGGAGAAGACAAACAGTACTCGAAAGCATAACCATCTAACTGTTGTGTTTAGTTCAGTGGTAGGACTGGAACTGTAAACGAGATGTGTAACCGCTAATCCCTGGTGTGGTTATGGTTGCGCGTTGCTGAAGAGTGAAGGTGAGGGTGAAGCAATTTCTCAGTGCTTCTAGGTTTCTAGTGTTTCTCCAACTGATGTCAGTCCATGATGAATGCCAACCTGAAATCAAAACTCCCACAAGCTTCCAAATTGAACATATTGCTGTTGTTGACTTTTAACTATATCGGTTTAATCAGTGACATTCTTAAAACTCTCAAACGCTGTTTATGGGTGTTTCAAAAGTTCATTGCTTATGGTTAATCAGGTTATTTTTCAGAGCCAGGGATCAGTCTTATCGTTTACACTTCTCTTTTACTGTTCAACAAGATGAATCACTATTTTTGTAATAATTTTTTATATTGAACAGAAACGTTCCATTATCCAAGACTACGTGGAGGACAACCAGATAAAAATTTATTCAACTTGGGGATAAAAGAAAATTTCCGGGAAACATTTGGTTCACGTTTTGTCTTATCTATGCTTCCTATATTCACTACGTGAGTTAACATTAAGCTGGGTTCAAACATTTATTGATAATGATGTCCCATTTATTCGCACTGTTATTGGTTTATTTATCTAGTTATCTTAACCGTGATAGTTGACGGTACTCAATCAGGTTTAATTACCCCTTTGTGAATAAAATAATATGAAAAACATGCTTTTCTTTTTCGTCGCATAATTACGTTGGTTATGCATTATGAATTATAGTTTTGCAGTTTTCAAGAAACAATATAAATTACTTCTGTAATCAGAGCTTAGTGTACTGTGTTTATACAAATAGCGTAGATGCTTTGGTTATTTTTATTGCGTGCACACACGTGTAGAATGATAGTGATAATGATTGACACTGACTTGACAGTTGATTGATTTTTTCCGTTCATTTGTTTGATCAACTGTCTTACACATGCATACACACGCGTAGCAGCTTCGCTTCAAATCGTTCTTCCATTCAGTAGTCCTTCATTATTTTCAATTCTCAATGTTTTATTTGTTGGCATATTTAACTATAATGAAAACCAAGTGATAAACAATGCAAATGGATATTAATCACTATAAAATAACATTCTATGATCAATAGATATCTTTTAATGAAGTAAGCAGATGTTCTATAGGTTTTCTTTTTGATTTGCTTGCTGAGAGTTGAACTATGAACACGTTTTGAGAAACAGTAAGACAGTTGAAGTGTACAGAGCTTTTATTCTTAAATAACTGCTTTTGCATTAGATTGTACTCACTATGCGGTTTCATACGATGCTTGCGCAATGTTATATGCATATTTGTGGTATGACAGTAAGGTGACAGAAAATTCTCGAGATTTTCTGCACCACTGGATTTACATATCGTGTTGTGCCTTATATGATACACTATTCATCACGAGTTTGAAAAATCCACAATTGTCTGATTAAAACAAATCGGCATGTTATAATGCATGAAGTTAATTGATCTATTTTGTCATTACTCGAAGTAGTACAGAAGAAAAACATCGTGAAGAAGTATTTTAATATAGATTTTGTAAAACCAAGTGAAGTGAATATACTTGAAACGGTACAAACTAAAGAGACTTAAGATGATAAAACTGTCTTTTGGATTATAATAGAAGTTTCCTAGTAGTATATTCAATATTTAGAACATGGTGGGGAACCAATATATATGTTTAAGGTATACTTTCCCTACTTTCAGTTTCCGTTGTCCGGTCGAAAAGTCTAGATTCCTCCTTTAAGGTTTCATTTATTGTCACCTTGTGTTGCTTGGTCTATCCTGAGTCTTTCATCTCTTTGTTTGCAGTATAAACGTTACATGTTGAGGAGGTTGTTGATTAAACATACACTTTTACATTCAATACTTAGTGCTGAAACATATATTTCTTTGACCTCGGAAGTATACATTCATCAAATTTTAGCCAAGTGGACTTTGTTGGTTTAAGCTGTCATCATTGATGTGTTCGCCCAGGTTATCCATGGATGTAACGTGTAAATACACAATGTCTGCAGTGTCATTTTTGAAATACTTGACCAAGTATTGCACAAGAAAATTACTCTCCACAACTACACTAAGTTACCGATACTGAAAAATTGTGCCACAGAAAAAAAATACTTACGAAGTTGAATTACTGCAACTTTATCCGACGTAAGACGCACTTGTCGTGTAATGAATGGCCCATCGTACTACCCAGCTGCTTAAGTTGAAGCAGATGGAGTTGGGTTTGAACCAAGGACTCAGTAAGGTACCCAACCCGGTGAACCAAATCTTCAGAAGTTACTTCAAAACTGACAGGAAGCCTAGGTTCAAGACTTTTTTCCATTTACTTCCAACCAGCTAACATCCATCGGAGTGCACCACGATGATGAGTCTTCTTGCTTGGTAGCCACATTGCAAAATGATCGATAGAATTCGGTCAACCTTCAGAACTAGACAGTGTGAAATTGGTTATTCTCCAGTAACTGACTGATGCTCCTAATCCACTCCTACAGGAGCTCAGTCAAAGCTGGGATTGATCAATGGTTGTGTTTATGACCGTGGCACTGGTTGACGTTGTTTCGAGAAAGCAGTTCCCTCCAGGTTGCAGACGCCCTGCTGACGAGTGCCAACAAGCACAAAACCTAGGTCGAGTTTCGCTCTTTGCAGATTATCTCCAATTAATTAACATACTGGAAATCTGTTCATAAGAAAATTATTGGTTAATTCTTATTTGTAGAAAAGCAACCACTCAAAATGGTATGTCTGTTACTCCCAACTAACCCAATATGATGCATTGTAACAGCTAGTGTAAGGGAATTACACAGCCTTACTCTCAAGCGAAATTGCATTGTTGTCTATGTGTAGTCATCAGATTTTTAGTAACGATAGTGGTTAGCAGTGTAATCTAGAACACGCGTTTCGTCCTCTATAGACTTCATTAATTTGGTCCAATCAAAGACGGAAAACTACTATATGATAAAAATGCTTGTTTTCTGTCTTAATATCAGTTTTTTGGTGAATATGTTACGCCTTAGTGAAAAGACTATCAATCGTATATATTTTCCAACATGCCTACTTGAGTGTTATCTTATGGGTTATTCCGCAGTTTATTGTAACTGTTGCACTATAATTTATATTTTTGTCCACTTTAGTCACACAATAACATTTTATGCTAATAACATTCAGTCCTCCAACTTCTACTGTTTTATATAAAGTGACATACAAGTCAACCATTAAACGATAATTATTCGTTTTCTTCAGTTGTTCGTTCTCCATTATTCTGTCACATTCTGAATAGAATATAGACATATATGTGTTCAACTCTTGTAAAGTTAAAAAGCTGTAAGTGACTTGAAGTGATGAAACGCCGCAAGCTTCAATCAAAAAACAGTTTACTTTCGAGTACATCGCCGTTGACTTGATTAGCTTTTTAGTGGTCTGATTGAAAGTACAATCATTTATTACTGTTCAATAATCTGGTGTGCAGAGTTCATAATGTTAAGAAGATCAATAATTATAAGAAATTTTGTGGATCAGGTTATCTGATCGATAAGAAAATTTATATTGTTTAACTGCTGACCATCTATTATGCTTTTTTCTTATGCAGGATTACGCTACTAAATTCCGTGAACATTGTAGTTAATTCAAAACAAATGAATCAGTAGGCATTAGCTATTCAGCAGTGAAAATAATATATCTATTCTCTACTACGAAACATTAATTGTAGTATATAGCTTGGTACAAAACATGTATCGGGTAGAGGAGTTACACATATCAATAACACAAGGTTAACTAACACATTTGCAAGCATTGTATGCTGAGTTTACGAATTCTGAATAATATGAGAATAAAAATGGGATAGTGTGGTAGAGTACAATATCAGACAAATAAATCAAATTAAAACCTTACACGATGGAGAATATTTGTAGCTCAGGTGGATGGTCTTGGTTGTATTGTGTTCTCTGAGCTGGGTTGTTTAATCGTGAAGCTTTCATCGCCTTGCTAGACGACATCATCAGCACTAACTTCAGAATGAAGTGAGCTGTCAATATCTCTCCGTGAGTGATTTATTAGCTTGCTCTGATGATGTGGTCTGTGATTGGTTGTTTCCTTCGATTGTTGTGTCATTGATTGTACAGACTTTCCTGTTGGCTGTTCCTCTGCTTCACCTCTGACCTTTCTATCGTTTATCATTTTTCTTATTGATTGATAGATTGGGTCTATGTCTATACATCTGTTGATTGCTGGCTGACCTGAATACCAAGCTTGTAGAAATTCTCTGATATTCTTTGTGTTTCCTCATCGAATCCACACCCAACACATGTAATAGGAATGACGCAACACCTATACCAGAGATATGGAAAACTTTACTACCAATCAAAAAACAAAGAGCGATCAGGTGACAGGACTATAAAACCAGATATCGAAAGAAGTGTGATTACATTGATATGATTATGAGCAATAATTTATGCTCGAAACGTAATCAAGTAAATAATACTGTATCACTGTGCGCTTTATATCAAATAAACAAATCTAATATGGAATTTGTGTTTCCTCTGTCCAAAATTTCTACATTGTCGAAATGGAATTCATGTCCATAATTATCCACGTGCACTGAAATGAGTGACGAAATGTCGTGGCCACGACATGGATATAGACTCAATCTATCAATCAATAAGAAAAATGATAAACGATAGAAAGGTCAGAGGTGAAGCAGAGGAACAGCCAACAGGAAAGTCTGTACAATCAATGACACAACAATCGAAGGAAACAACCAATCACAGACCACATCATCAGAGCAAGCTAATAAATCACTCACGGAGAGATATTGACAGCTCACTTCATTCTGAAGTTAGTGCTGATGATGTCGTCTAGCAAGGCGATGAAAGCTTCACGATTAAACAACCCAGCTCAGAGAACACAATACAACCAAGAAAACCCTACACAGAAGTGCATCAGTTCAGGTTGTCATGCATCACAGCAACATGCAAAAAAGGTGAATACAAAAATAATTACATTTAATTGGACGAAAGTATATTAAAAGAGGAATCAGTAATTAGGGTTGGATAAAAATGATCAGAATTTTGAAGAATATAAAGAGTGTATGCCATCGTGACCGACTTTTGAGCTATATCTTAATGAATCTGCAAACATCGATTTCTCTCACCTGGAGGACACAGACCATCGGGTGTATCAACTCTATAAAATATGATGTAACCCACTGATGCATTGTATGTTCATCTTTTGATATACTACCGGATATCTCGTCAGCTTTATAAATGGCGTAAGTTGGCGAATACTAAATGAGCTTTTGTAACCCGAACTACGATTTTGTCAGGAAATAACCCACTGTGGTTGATGGGATCCCCAAAGTAAATGAAATGATCAATGTATTTCACCACTTCACTTACTATTCTTAAAATAAAAGTCGGTGCAGATCGCTTCAGAACTGTCGTATAACTTTTGAAAGCTGTGAAACGTATGCCGAACATTCGAAAACATTTTACTGAAAGTGTCAAGGACATTCTGCTTAGTGTCAGCACTTTTGTCTAACATAACTATGTCATCTGCGTACTTCCTATCAGCTATTTTACCTCTGTGTAGTCATTCAGATTCATCGAAGTCTAACTTACGTAGGGTCATATCCGTCAATACGTCTGCTACAAAAATAAAAATGGTGGTAGTGGACAACCATAGTGGACGCCAGTTAGGCGTTGTATGAATATGATCTCTAGAATCTGAGACATGATGTTACTCAAACTGATTTCCCTGTAAGTGTCACTTGAAGGCTTCTTCATTTTCTCGTGAATTAGTGGTCAGTGATTTTAATCATTCAGATAGACTTATCTCGAATTTCCATACACCAAATAATATTTGTTGGTCTAGTGAGAAATTTTACAACATCATCCTTATTAATTTCTGGAAGGTAAATACCAAGTCTTATTGCTTTGAATCGTATCAGGTTTTGAAAGACATCAAATTTGGTAAGAGATGGAGGGTTGGAATCTAGGTCTCATTCCGTTTCGGTTGGGTTATTGGGCCACTGAAACGTGATTGTAGCTGTGTTTAGATGTTCCTAATTATTTTAAAGATTCGACTTTCAAGTGGAGGGTTTTTGGTTCGAATTCCTGTACACCTGGGTAGTGCTAGGTAGGGCCCTCAGACAGCTAATATGGCCCGTAGTCTAGTATTTAAATATGTACCGCTGCGCTGCGTTCCAGCTGACTTTCCTGTGCGTTCTTTTCGGTAACAGTTTCAGTAACCAGTCTTTTCCAACAAACCTAAGCTATTGTGAACTATTGTTTGACGCAGATTTCTTCTTTGTCTCTTGTTCTCATCAACCACCACCGCTTGCGCATATCACGAAAACTCTTATTCACTTTATGCTTTAGCTGCTTTCATTTCTCATTGTTATCGGTAGCGTCTGGAAAGAACCTTTTACCATCAATTTTGTCCTGATTAGGCTTGAGATATCTGCCGATTTTTATTAACAATCGCTTGGAATTTAAAATATTTATACCTGTTTACACAACAGAATAAATAATACTCCAGGCTACATCTGAACGAAAGTTGCTGCCACGTTAGGATGAATGCTTATTGACCATTCCTAAATTCAAATTTAATGTACTCGTCTTCCACCGGAGATCACAGATTCTCCGCAGCTGTTTTTTTCCACCGTCCATTGAGGTGAAAATACACGTGTTCGGATTAATACATGATCTTAGTCCTAGCATGCACTGCAATGTATGTGTCCATTGTTGACTTGGTCTCGACGGACATCAAGTATTTATTTATAACAAGATACACAGACAAAGCGGAACAAAATTACGATGAACCTTTTGTGTATTACTTTTCAATATCTGATAATACAGACAATTAGTATTCAATTTAGTGTTTCATAGGACTTTCTTTTACCAACAACCTTGTTTTTCTTAGTTAAATGTTAGTTTCATTTATCAGCAGCTCTATGCAACCTCAACACCGTAAGCTACTCGGAATATACAGGATGAAGTGAGATAATCCAAGTTACGCACCGTTTATTGGAAAGGGCTGTAAGTGGAGGTGTGATATCGGTTTATATCAATAGCTTTCAACCAATGGGTCACTGGTTGAAACGTCACTCCACCTACTGAGGTTTGGACAGCCATGTAGTATCATTCACCCTCACACAATAAGTGTGGCTCATTGCCTACTGCACAAACGTGTATATGATTGGTGCGTGCATTTCAGTTCGAAAATTTCAACGCTATAATTCTCTAGTTTGGATCAGTTTCAGTTGAAATCACCTCTGTGGCACCTTAAAATCGTTGGTTTCTTGCATTCTCTTCGCAATAGAAAATTAAAAGCAGGTGCTTACATTAAGCAAAGACCACATATATGATAATTTGTCAACAAGGTCGTTTTGTTAATTTTTTGAAAACTTCTTTGGATGGCACATGAAAAGAGACTTTGTTCAAGGTTTGCATGAAACTAACGAGGTCAATGAAATAGAATAGCTCACTTCGATCCACAGTATTATGCACAACATTCATAAACACAAAAACAACACCGTTGGTTAACCATGAATATTTTTTTACATGTTTATTTTAGCGGAACATCCTGTTGATAGTGCTTAGACCCGATAGTTATCTGATATTCTAGGATAACTGGGGCCTACTGTAATCGAATCCCTAAGTAAGGATGAATCTACGATCTCTAGGTTCTTTATCATGTTTATCTGTTTGTGACTGCTGACGATTTTTCTCTCCCTATCACATGCGAATATAATTAACTTATTTATGTTGACATCTTACTGAGTAAATAGTTCTACGTTATGTATCTATGCTTTCTTAAAATTCAATCTCGTTGTTTGGTTTCGATCCACCATCTTATCCATTCCTACCAAGCTCTTATCTATAAGAGTTCAACCACTGAATCACCAACCAATTACATGACTATTTTCTATATCTTGTGATATAGGAACTATGCACTGAAATGTTTACCATTCTTTTGATCACATTGAGTAGTTGGGTACAGTTCGCTACTAGGTTACTTGAAGTCATTTGCATTACTGAGTAACCAATGAAACTAGAAGATATAGGAAGTTTGATGACGGTTCATGAGAAAACTAAGGTTTGGTTCTATGCTTAAAATCGTTTCATGTGTTCCGTTTAACTGAAACCGTTTTCTATTAATTTCTTTAGCCCTGGAGATGGTGTTAATTGGCGTTATCGACCCAATCATTCTGTACAGAATAATAATTTGGAAGCTGGTAATACAAACTCGCCTATGCTTTTAACGACAAAGGTACCCTGACAGTAATTGGGAGATGATGCAGAAAACACAATGACAAACAGTAACTCGGTTAATACTGCTGTGCCACACTCCCACCTAATCTGTTTTCCTTGTAAACTTTATTTACAGGAGTATGTTGAATAATCTTTTATGCGTGTCTGATATTTATATCTGGATACTTTTGTAGTTCTGGATTGCTGTTTTTAGAAAAAAGTTTCAACCGCGTTCATGAGAGAAGTCAAATTTTCACCGAAATCTGTAAATCTTTTATTACGCCTTTACCTACCTACTCATGTCTTTCTCTTCTCTGTTGATTTATGTTTTCTGATACTTTATTCTTACGGATCAGCTGAATTGGCTTCTGAAGAAGAAACTGAAGGACGAGGTAATTTTATCCTTCACAATGAATGTCGATATAACACGCTTTTAGCATTTTGAGTTCAAACTCTGTTGTGATTGATTGTTATTCTAGACACTTCTGAACTAAGTACTAGAGAAATATTTTCCCGTTTAACTTCCTTTTACTCTTCTGCTGATGCAATATGTTGTGAGGAAATCATTGTCCACTCCAGCTTCTGTTGGTACACATCGTCTTTTAACGGCAAAATCGTGGGAAGATCATTTTTTTACCCATTATATACGAGGCTTTTATGTTTTATCTATCAGCTTATTACTTAGTGTAAAATACTTAAATATATATGCATATATGTCACTACTTCCTAAAAGAATTTTTTATGGCTATATTGGCGTGATTTTTTTCCTTGTTCATCAGTGAATTTAATGCACTAAACATCCGTCGAAATTTGGCCTTTCTTATAACTGTACTACCGGCAACTAGTAAGGATGTAGGTCGCTTATTTCATCCTGTTTCAAAATGCAATCCTGACCTATTTTCATATTAATTTTATGCTTTAGCTCAAGCTAGTCAGTAGAAAAACGTTACAAAATATAATTCCATATTAGATTTGTCTTGGTTTATGACACGCAGTGGTATACTTTTATTTACTTGATGGAGTTTGAACATGAATTATTGCTCATAATCATATCAATCACACTGATATGATATGAACAGTAATTTATGCTCGAAACGTCATCAAGTAGATAATACTGTATCACTGTATGTTATAAATCAAACAAAGAAATTAAATATGGAATTACATTGTACTACAGTGCCCAAGTTTTACACTTACGTTACGAGATGTAACTACTTTTTCTTCATAGTTGAGTGCGAAAAGTTCCTGAAACGGTAGATACTAGCGAGGAGTGAAAGTCTTGTCTATAACACTGAAATCAACGCTAACGGATTCATCTCAAAGTTCTGAAGTCGACTTAAAAACTTATACTGGACTGTAATGCGGATTACGTCAACATGGAACCTCGCATAGAAGTGCATCGGTTCACGCTCCCACACCACAACAATTGAAGAGTAAAAGAGTGACATCAAAGTAGACAATGGTGTATGGAAGGAGGAGGAATATGAGAATTAAAGGTTAGTGAAAATACCCAAGGTTTAGAAGACATCAATGAGTCAATAAATCTGTTCCACTGTATATGGTTTTCAGCTATGTCACCAAAAGTCTGAAACCATTGATTCCTACGGTCTCTGGGACCAGGCCAGGCAGTTCGCACCTCCATACATGGCTCAAACCAGTAGTCATAGACTTCATCAACTGGTGTGACGTCATGGTTCGGCCACCTCAAGTCTTCTTACAGTCAAATACTACTTTGGTCAACACAGCATATTGAGGTGGACGGTGGCTCGGCATTCTCAACATATGTCCAAGCCACCTCATTCAGTGAAAGTTCACAACCTCAACTGACTTTCCTGTCTTGTCTACTACCCTTTGTCTAATCTCTACATTACGTACACATTGATTCCACTGTGCGGGAGTGATGCTGGGAAGATACCTGTTTCAAAAAAACTGTAATTCCTTGATATATAATTTCAGTGCTTGTGTCATTGCTGTATAACTGGACAGAATGGATTGCAGCTCACTTCACTCTTCTTTTAACAGGTAGTTGAATACCTCACCGATGCCAAAGATGACGCAAGTTGACTAGTGTCGAACAGGTCATCTGCATCCGACCTGAGATTCCATCAGTAACCAGTCCATTTGGGCTAATACAACTCCCCAATTAAGTGAAGTGGTCGACGCATTCTACCATTTCGTTCACCGTCGTTAAACTGGGAGTATTTGCAAACCAGTTATCGAGATTGTGTTAAAAGCATAGCAAGTCCTTATCTGCAATCTCAAAGTATTATTGTTATAATATTGTAACCTTTTGGTTCGATTAAATCTACACCTATATGTTTTATCCGTATTCAGTACGAATCAAAGTCACAATCATGAATGTTCCTAATGTATCCCTCTTTTATCCTCATAATAGACGTTCTGATTATACCCCCTACATTTCAAAAGCCTTGTACATTTTTCACATATTTTGTGGGTTAGCAGTCTACTTTCGTTTATTTTCCCAGTCGTTTGGTGTGAAATAGGTCTAAAGTCAACTCTCACGTAGGAACTCTATGTAATAGCAATAAATAGGACCAGTGTTTGGCAGTTACCCCAGTCCGTTAATCATAGGACCTAACAGGAAACCCAAAACGAGTTTAAGTCCAGTAACATCAGCTAAACCGTTAGGTCAGAAATATAACACCATATATCTTCGCATGTTTAATTGAGTGTATTAGTCCAGTGTTCTGTTTTAAGCAGTGAAAATAAACCGCGTCATGAAGAGCCGTTAAAAGCTTCAGGTCTATATCCGTAATTATTTAGTATCACATTGATGTCTTTGACTGGTATTTCCTAAGATGGCGATAACGACTCAGAATTGCTAAACCTTTCTTTTTCCTTCAACAAAAATGTCCCATTCTTGTGCAAACAAGAAAAGTTTATTATCAGTGAAATACAATCAGCTTGCATTTTTAAGTCGACGAAGGTTCACTCAAACCAAAACTGTTCCCATACTCTGTTCGGGTAAAAGTGTTTTTGCGGCAAATGTAAACAATAAGACCCGAAAATCAATAACTTGATTACAATATTATTTCTATTGTTTCAGTTTCACACGATATCTTTCATTGGTTAATCGTTCCATTGTGAGGAGAATATATTATTAACGGTCATTTCTGACTTTAAAATTCCCAAAGACCATTTTGACGAAGAAGCTAGGTGAACAATTATTCTCAGTAACTTTCCCTTCAGGTTCTACAGTTATAAATCAATGAGAATAGGTGCACACAATAAATAGCTATTGTAAGCAATACAATAAGATTATTTCAGTCCTATAAGTGACAGTATGAACACAACTTCTACGTCAAATCAAATAAATATTGATACATCTCTTCACCATTTAGCTTGTTTCAGTTGATGTAAATGAGATGTGATTGGTTAGCAAGCCATTGCATGCTTTTATTGGATATTACGTCTGAAAAACAATTTCTACCATATATTTATGAGTCTATCCAGATGCATTTTGCAGACATTTGTTTGTTGCTGATGCTGAGAATAGGAGGTATATGTATTGAACTACTTAACCCTTTTTGATTACTAAAGTTTCAGAGAACAGGATAAATGCGGGTGGCTATTGTCTTTGATGTACACTCATTTTGTATCATTTGATCTTTATGAACTGTAAGAGCCTGCAGTTGTACTGAAAATGAAATTCCTGCTCAAAATCGATTTTCGCATACATCGAGTGTATGGTTTTTAAAAATTTCTGTTGTTATTCGATTTTCTGACGGTGTTAGTAAAGCCTTAGCAAGACTTCTTAACATAATGAATATTAGAAAATGAGTTTTTATCTCCCAAAAGTATCTCACTCCAACTCTGGATTTCTGTCAGCGCTGAGAACTATAGCATGGCGTCGGTTTTTAAGCCATGGGTTACTTGTTTATCTAATAATTCATTTCAGAAAGAGGTCCAATTCCTATGGCTTTTCAATAAGTGCTGTTGGTAATTTTTGTTGAAACGTGAGTTTCTTCGAGTTTTCAGATACTATTTACTAATCAGTAGCAACAAGGTCAAAACGTAACTTTCTGCTGATATGTTCCATCCATGTGAAATCTATAATGAGGTCCTGTGTGTGTTCATGAAACTTACCTCATCTTCACAACAGCAGATTTTATTGAGCAGTATGTCACACACCGTTCCGTAACTATTCAAAGCTGTGGCTCATTGATTTGAGCACTGCAGTTTGGAAAAATGGATCACAGCTTCAAATGCTACTGCGTCCATTTACGCTTATGAAGTGGGGTCGTATCGTTAGCTGTCATACACTGAGTTAGCTCATAACCTAGTACATGAACGTGTACTGCGCTACTAGGGTGCTGTTTTGGTATTTACACTGCACCAAATTTATATTTTGAATATTTACTTATGTATTTGAAGGATTTTTAATTTTTTTGGTTAGTTTTTATTGTCAAGTGTTGTTTATTAATAAATTTCTTAATGAACAGTTAATAAACCGAGCTCCGTGGAAGTAAGTAGAGTGATAGCCATAAATTAACGAAGCTTTATGTATGACTTCGGAAGATCATTTGTTTGAAACAGGTTTTCAAAACTGGAAACTCAATTTCTATTAAGGAATCTTGATGACCATTTCCAAATTATTAATTTTCTCAACTCTGAGTCTACAATTTGTCACAAATATTTTGGCATCGAATATACGATACTTATTCTATTATGATTGCGTATATTGACAGTTAACTAGGAATCTTATTCGTTGGTTCACTTCCATATAGAATTATAATCGGTTAATCTACATTCGTAGTATTAGTAATTCGATTGTCCGCAATAATTTCTCAGGTGGTTTTCATGTAAATCATTCTTTCTGAACTGACAGTTAAAATCGAAAAATGAATTATTTTGAGAATACCTAGTGCTACAGAGAATTTATTGTACCATGTTTGATAATGGCTCACCATTTGAACAGACTATATATTTGATGTGATTGTGCAATCTCACTTTTCTTTTTCCCAAGGAATCATATGTTGCTTCATACTCACATAGAACGTTACTTCGGAAACTTTACCTTCTGTTCTTCTAACCATATTGACTGAAGTTAATTTTCTAATCATGGAGTCAGTTTCAGTTTCAAATTGTCTTGATATCTTAAAGATAAGCCGTTCGAATAAACAAGCATGACTAGCAGCACCCGTTCTGATGTTCCCCCTTCCTATTGGAGAGGTGAATTCGGCTATAAAAATATCACACTTCTAAATTCCACTTGGTCTTCTGGTGTCAGCAGTGTGTTTTCACGGCCCATATGCAGCACAGTCAAATCTACCTCTCTAGCCTTCTACCTGGTTGTATGTGACCGACAGCAAGTAGATATCCCTTGGACTCGGAGATCACGTCCAGGTTGTTAAGACCACACTAATTAATCCACTTTCTCGCGTACCTTAAAAAGAAGTTGCCTTTGCGGACAGCCAGATATTGTCAACCATTTTATGTGACCACTAAACCCCGTCTCAATCACTTTTAAGCTTCCGCATTTCCACCTTGTAATACTCCTCTATATGTCTCTGTTAATAGTTTTACTTTATCTTCAACTTTTTCCGACTCTGTGACCTTTGAAAACTATTTTGATTAACGAAACAGCATAACTGATCTCCTGAAGCAGCACTCCAAACTGCATATGAGGTTGCAATATTCTCACTCTTTGTCAAATAGAATACCGAGCTTTGTTTTTCGAAATCCTGGTATTTAGGTCTGTGAACGGATTTTTGAGAAACGAATAAAAGATCTAATTGTGGCTACTTATTTTATCTCATCCGTTCTACAAAATTTACCTACCGAATTTGTTGAGATTCTCATAGTTTTGCAGGCATAGGCATTAAGTGCGAAGGCAGAAAGTGCACCGTCTTCCTAAATCCCAACAGTGCACTGAACAGTGTAGGGAAAACTTAAAATCACAGTTAAACTCACCGTTATCTCTATATGATCTCCGATGACTCACTCATTGACTGTAGTTCGGATGAAATGAAAGACTAATCCTACCGAAAAATTTTGAATCTTCTACTAAAGGCCGAAAATTCAGACGTTGTTGTTGTAACAGGTGATTTCGTGCACAAGTGAGTAGGCTAATTCAAGCAGAAATCATTTAGCTGGTGTATTCGAAATAACAGATGGTGGTGGTCGCCTGCTACAACTGTGCTCAAACAAACATTTATTTCTGTCCAGTAAGAACTTCAGACGTAGAGAGAGACATTGTCTGGCCTAGTACCCATCGACCTCAACTCAACAGTAGACAGATAAGATAGATTGTTTGCTACCACTCATCGTTGGAAATGGCCAGGGGGGATTAGCGTTTTTTCTGAAGTGCGCGTCTGGATAGTGATCGCGCGTTGGTTTCAGCATCCCTATCTTTTGTCTAAATGGAAGCAGACAAACAACATTAACATGGTCATCATAAACTATATCATCTAACGGTAACAAGATCATTTCGAGAGCGGCTTGACTATGAGAATACTAAAACTACTTACAGCGAGGAACTGGTTAAGCAATTATCGGAACGTGACAACATTACCCATCTGAAAAAAGCCTCGTGCCATCTACAGTCTGCTTTAACAACAGCGTAAAATCCCAGAAGTGACTCAGAAAGTGTTTAGAAAGGGTCAGTAGATCTCAACGACTTAGGAAGTAATGAGTGAGTGTGAAAGCACTTTTGCAGGCTTCAAGCATAGTGACGAGCGGGAGCAACTGAGATGTAGACTGACGAGAAGTCTGTGCAAAGACGATGGGCGGTGGCTGATGAGGAAGTCTAAAGAGATGGGAAGGTCGGTGACGACAGGTAACGGTAGATGGCTATTGAGACGTATCGTAGAAACTGATCCGAAAGATCAATGGTTAGTGAGGTTGCTTCCAAGAACGATTGGTCTACGATTCGTTCTCTGGAGAGACGACTGAAGCGATAAATAGGAGACCTCAAGGAAGAATTCAGCTAGTCTTCGATCACCTGCTGTTAGGTCGAGTCCTGGAACATTGAGACAAGATCTATTACTCTTACCGAAGTTAACAAGGCAGTAAGTAACTTGAAACTAGGAACGGCAGCAGGCCTGTTTTGGGTTTGCAGCGTAGGTATTTAAGACGACGACAGAGAACTATTTTCTAAACTGACTAGATTGTTACCTACTCTCTTGGAATTGTATACAACCCCTTTTTATTAGTTTCTTTCACTTCTCATCCTAGTCTTCAAAAAGTGAGAAGAATCCTATTTAGATAGCCAAAATGGACTGAACCTGACGGACATAGGCATCCAAGATTCAAGGTTCCGTAATCGCTTGACGCCTAAATGGAGCTCGGAAGTAGCAAACCCGAGAAAGCCAGGCTGGTATCAAGCCTGATCATGGCTGTTTCTACCAAATATTCACCATCCACCTGGTTTTGGAACAGGTACATTTACCAACACCTGACACCAGCTGTATTTCTTGATCTGAAGGTGACACTTGACTCGTCAGATCGTAAGGTCTTATGGCAGCACCTGTTACTGAAACGCATGCTGGGTAAGTGAATAACTCT